TGATTTGCTGCTCAAGAAACATTTCTGATTATTAGCAATGTTGATAATCTACAAAGCAGCCATCTACATAAATCTACATAATACAATCTACTTTTGATCAATTTAATGCATCCTTGCTGATTAAATGTATTAATTTCTTAAAAAAAAAAAAATCATGGTGACCCCAAACTTTTTTAAAGTTCGTGTCAGACCTGATCTTTCCATATAAAGCGCTGTTGTCCAGGTTTGTCTGGCGCTCACCGTGATCATTTTTCACTTAAACTGTTCCTGTAATATGATAATATTTATATTTCCTCCTTAGGACGGTGTCAGTCAGTGTGATTTGATGTGATGTGTGTCAGGGCTGCGCTGTGAGGCTGTGTATGTTTCTGCATCTGTGAGTGACTGTCTGCAGGCGTAACGTCTGTCTGTGAGCCCGTCTCTCTCTCTCTATTCACTCCTCCACCGGAGAGACAGACGCAGACATGGACCACAGGAGGCTAAGTGCCCTGTTTGGAGATTCAGTGGAGCATATGACCTTGTGTGTGTGTGTGTGTGTGTGTGTGTGTGTGTGTGTGGCTATACTTTAGGGACAAAACTGTCCGTTGACATCAGCTAAATAACAAAAGACTTCCCTTGACTCTTATACAGTCAGTAGTGTTTTGTCATGAGAAAGAAAAAAACACAAATTAAATCAATTTAGTATATGAAATAGTTGTCCTAGAAAGCAATGAAAGCTAATGAAGATTTTTAAGTCTGAGAACATTGTCTCAATCTGTGCTCAGATTTCCTGAGATATTAAATGTGCAGTATGCCATCAAAAGTCAGAGATTAAACTTTTCTCATTAAATTATCTAAACTGCTGTCCATCTTCATTTTATACACTGCAAAATATAATTTTCTTCCTTAATATTTTTGTCTTATGATATATTCATGCTGTTCTGTCCAGGTAATATCTTTCCCCAAAATGAAATGTCAAAATAAATAAATAATAATGCATATAGGAAATGTAGCCTATTTTAGGATCTTTAAATTATTTTATATTCTGACATTTTAATTACAATTATTCACACCCACTCTGTTCTTGTTACTGTAATGTGGAGAAAACTTAATAATATACATATAATTTTTCATATTTTACTCCAAAATAGAAATAAATAAATAATAATAATGTATATAGAAAACTCTCAATCTTCATTTTTTACACGGCCAAAAATGATGTTGTTTCTCAGTATCTTTGTCTTGGTTTAAGCAAAAAAAATCACTTATTTAATTTGGATGCATTTATCAAGAAATGCATTCAAGACTTGAAATCTGAAGTCATTTTGCATGTCCAGTAAATTTATCTTGATTTCAGAAAGGTTTAGATATTTGTACCGGAAAACAAGTCAAAATACTGTATAGTGTAGCTCTATATTCTTACTTGAAATTGCTTAAATTATTTTGATGAGTTAAAGTAATGGAAAAACATGTTGATCATCTCATTTTTTACATTGTATAGGGAATTGTAGGACAAACATCTTTGTGTAACGCTGCTCTCTCTCTCTCTCTCTCTCTCTCTCTCTCTGTCTCTGTCAGTGAGTGTCATAATGCTACAGACCGTATAAAGGTCCGTGTGTGGGATGAAGACGATGACATAAAGTCCAGAGTGAAGCAGCACTTTAAGAAGGAATCTGATGATTTCCTGGGTCAGACCATCATCGAGGTGCGGATGCTGAGCGGGGAGATGGACGTCTGGTATAATCTTGGTATGTTATGGGCCTCATTCTTCAAAAACCTCAACAAAATTGAAAGGAATTGTTCACTCCAAAAAAAACAAATTGTCATCATTTACTCACCCACATGTCATTCCAAACCTTTATGACTTTTTTTCCCTTACCGTGCGTTCACACCGCCGCCGTCGAGAGTGTCAAAGTGGCCGGAAGTCATTCATTTTCAATGTGAGCCGGCATCGAGCGGAGGAGAGGTTGATTATTGCTGTGGCGGGTTTCCCAATAATCTACGACGTGTCCCTGTTTGTGTACAGGGACATACATTTTTAAAAAATGATGCGTGGACCAAGGTGTCTGAGATTGTTGGTGTTCCTGGTGAGTTGCTGATGTGCTTTAACGTTATAGGAATAATAATCTAATGATATAATAAATAATAGTATAATAGTCCCAGTTCACTTTTAAACCTTTAAATCAATTTTCCTGATTATACTTACATTAAGTAATGTTTATACCTGATTATACTTACTTAAGTAACATTTTCAATGCAGGACTTTTACTTGTATCAGAGTATTTTTACAGTGAGGTATTAGTGCTTTATACATTATGAGCTAAAGGATCTCAATACTTCGTCCACAACAATATTTAATGAGGTTAACTTAACGTTACCCTCCTTGTGGTCAGTCTGCACATCTACGTCGATCTACATTCGATCTACGTCAGAGCGTCCACGAATCTTTCTACAGCGTTGTTGGCAGGGCGGCCAGAGCAATTTGACGCTCTCGACGGCGGCGGTGTGAACGCACAGTTAGAAGATGAACTGAGATAATCATGCTGTTCTGTCAAGGTCATATTTAATCAACAAATGAACAACAAACAAATAAACAAACATTAAATAAATAAATAACATTGTACAATTATTCACACTGTTCTCATTACTGCGGAGAAAACTTAATATGCATGGAATATACATATGTACATCATGATAGCATTTGTTGTTATTGAAGTATTTTAATTAAAAAAAAAATTGCATCTAGACAGGTTAATATTCATTACTTTTTTTACTCTATAGTATTGGTAGTACAGTACTGGAATATTTTGGCTTGTTTTGTTTTTTTTAACCTTCTTAAATATTTTTTTTAATTAGAATCTTTTTTATTTATTTTATTTATTTATTTATTTTTTATACTTTGTTTACTTTTTCTTTGTTAATTTTATTTCTTAATCATCTCATTTGTTCTCATTTTATTCTTTTTATGTCAAAGCACTGAATAGGCATTATGTATGAAATATAAATAAACCTAACTTGCCATTATATAATGTATTATTGTGTTATTATTATTTATTTTAAAATATATTATTTTAGATTATTTTTTTATTTCTTACATTAATGAGAATTTAAGCAAGAAATATTGTTCATTTTTTTATGTATATACATGTATAACCAATGAGAATTGTTTTTTTTCACATTAAATTAATGTTAATTACAATTAAATTAATTAAATTAATTTAGGCAAGAAATGTGTTTAAATATAAAAAAAAATGTTGTTAGTGCAAAGATGTCTCATAATAGGATTCAGTGTAATATAATCTTTTGATTTGGGGGTGAAATGAGACTCTTTTGCATTACTTTGTGAGATTCACCTGTAGAGCCTCCAAAAAATACAAGTAGCACCATAAAAGAAGTTCATCTTGTGCTGTATTTCATGTCTTCTAGCTTCACTTCGAGTGAATTATCCCTTTAATACTGTTCAAAGAAAGTTGAAGAGTTCCTCCTTGGTTTTGTTCTGGTGCAGATGGCCTGATTGTTCCACAGAGAATGCTTTCTGCTTTTGTTGATGCTTTATGCGTTGGATTGTTTTGCTTGGCTTGGAGCAGAAGCGTGTGGTTTTAGAGCCGTGACTTGGGCCAAAGTGAAGCGCTGATATCGGCACACTCCTCCTCCATCTGTCCACGACTATGAGAAGTGGGAAAGATCCACTGCGGCCACAGACCAGACATCAATTACAGCAATTAAGACGTCTATAAAACAAGATGTGGGGAGTCTTATCTGCAAAGAGCCATTTTATATCACATATTGGTTTAATAGCAGCTGCCGAATGTCTCATGAGATTTAAAGTCGACGAGAAATCGGATTGTTTACTTTCTTAATGCACATTTCAGAACCACGATTCATCATGCATGCTATTCCAAAGAAAAAATCTCACATTATAGAAGTATAATGGTTAAACCTTTTGGTTAATGGTGTAAATTTAGCTCCTGTTTCTAGGTTTCTGTGCTCATGGCTGAAATGAGACATTTTGACATTGTCCAGCTTTCTGATCCCGGGTCAGATCTGTAATGGAACATGGCTGTAAGCTGATGAGATTCTCGGTGCATTACATGTGTTATTGACAGGGTCAGAGAGGAGGAATATCCTACAGCTCCAGCGCTCCTCAGTATCTTTCATTCATTTTATTTCCATTTCTTCTTGTCTTTTCTATCGTCTGTTCACATGCTCGTGTTCATTCTCCCTGCAGAGAAGCGGACGGATAAGTCGATGGTTTCGGGGGCCATCAGGCTGAAGATCAGCGTTGAGATGAAGGGAGAAGAGAAGGTGGCTCCTCCTCATGGGCAGTACACATGTTTACACGAGGTACGTCTGACAGCAGCAGCTCAAATACACTGCAGACACTGCATTCTTAATCAGAATTTTGTCTTGCTTTAAATATACAAATATCAACAAGTCTCACTACATATTGTTAGATTTTTTAAATGTAAGACAAATATTTCTATACATTTATTTTATTTTAAGAATGTTTAGATATTTTTTACTGTAAAATAAGTTCAAATGTAATAACATTAAAAAATGAAATATAAAAAAGTGAAAATAATTGGACTCTGAGTTGAAATATTTTGTAATTAAAATCCATATAAGGAATTTGTTAAGTGCCTCAAAATGCCTCATTTTTATATTTAATAAAAGTGATATTTAGATTTAGTCATGCTGTCACATATATCATATTATTGCATTAATTGTTATGAATTGTTATATTATATTATATTTAATCAAATATATTTTATATTCAGAAAAGTGATAATTAAATATAGTCATGTCATTACATATATTACTGCATTAATGCATATTATATTATATTATATTTAGTAAAATGTATTTTATATTTAATGAAAGTGATATTTAGATTTAGTCATGCTATGACATACAACATATTGCATTAATTGTTATGAATTGTTATATTATATTATATTTAATAAAATGTATTTTATATTTAATGAAAATGATATTTATATATAGTCATGTCATTGCATATATATTATATTACTGGATCTTATCGGCCACCATATCGGAAAGTTAAGGATCTGCCTAAACTCAACACATATTTGTGTTGCATTATGAATTGTGTTTCAAAATCCACCGACGTGTGAAATCAATCATGTGTGGCTGGAAGGGTTTGTGTTAGTCTGGCCCACGTCTCGCTGGTTCTGTACCACCGTCGGCTGCGCGGTGTTGTGGCATTTTTGTCGGTGTGATGACAGTAGGTTGGCGCCCCGAAATGTTGACCTTTCCAAGCTGGCTGTGCTGTTGATGTTCCTCGACATCCATTCCATATCAGTGCTGTTACAGTTCATGCACTCGAAATGCCCTGCACGCTTCCTGGCCCCTAAACGGCTTCCCGCTTTCTGTTGATTTCTGTGCAGAATCTCTTCCACTACCTGACGGAGTTGAAGAACAACGGAGTCGTGAAGATCCCGGGGGTCAAAGGTGACGATGCCTGGAAGGTTTACTTCGACGACGTGTCGCAGGAGATCGTGGATGAGTTTGCCATGCGCTTCGGTGTGGAGTCCATCTACCAGGCCATGACGTGAGTTTCTGATGTTTCATTTGCTTTTTAATAGAGATTGGGAGTCAGTCATTGAACAGAAAGCAGCCGATGGCTCACATACACCCTGCGTTCGCTTATTTAACGTCCTGCTGTTGTTAAAAGAATAGGCTTGGCGTATTTCACGACTGAGGCTGATTGTGCTTCAGCAGGAATTTATGAAAGCCTTGTTTTGTGTCGACGAGTCTGTCGATGACTTACGGTCATACATGCACATGATGGCTTTATAAATCACACTGTTTACTAGAAATGCTCAGGCTCCCAATGAAAACCTCTCAGCCTCAGCACACACTCTCTCTTTCTCTCTGTTGGCTGTTTGGAGCTGTAATTGATTTGGGCCCCTGCTCTGAGTGCCTTTACCCTCATAATTGCATCTGGAGCTCTTTCTCTCTGTTGGCTGTTTGGAGCTGTAATTGATTTGGGCCCCTGCTCTGAGGGCCTTTACCCTCATAATTGCATCTGGAGTTTATGTCCTCTCTCTCGCTCTGCTTTGCTGCTCAGAAAACATTTCTTATTATTATCAATGTTGAAAACAGTTGTGCCGCTTCATATTTTTGTGTAAACTGAGATACATTTTATTTTTCAGGATTTTTTGATGAAGAGAAAGTTCAAAAGAACAGCATTTATTTGAAATAGAAATATTATGTAACATTATAAATGTCTTTATCATCATTTTTGATCAATTTATAGCAAAGTATATTAAAAGTATTAATTTCTATAACTTCTTCACCCCCCCCCCCAAATAAAATAAAATAAAATAAAATAATAATAATAATAATATATATAT